GTGTAATTATCTTCATTTGACAATTAGCCTGCCCTCCATTCCCAGTTTTTAATTACTCCCTTCCGTATTACCGGAGCATCAAGGACTTTTCCTGTGTTTTTGAGGTCGTGGAGGTCGAGCGTCGTCTGCACAACTTCCCTGCCACACAATGGGCAAATAACCCAGACAAATGTATTAAAGGAATGTTCTGGGATCAATACAAGTTACAGCATCCGTGACATCCGGTCCATTACAGCAGAAAACCATTTCCACTTTGTAAAAACAAACAAAAATTGCATTTACAGTAATGCACTTACTGTGGACGTCGATGGGGTTTGGCATTTCACCGGGATACAAACTGGTTTGAAAGTATAGACATGATTTACATGTCAACGTGATAAAATCACCTAGAAACGTTGCCAGTTTAAACTTTACGGCTCTTTTTTTATATTTAAATAATGAGTGCTTTAATAAAAATACAAATTTCTGCTTTAAATCCTCCTGAATTTCTCGCCCCATAGACTTCAATATTCAGCATTTACTGTAAATGTGATTCATGCTTGCTGAAATTATTTTGAGCTACACACACTGACTGTGTTTCTTTTGAACCACAGCAATAGAATTGAATTTAAAATAGATTGTGTAAAGTCCCACTATTGCCGAGGGGTTCCTGGAAATCTGAAAATTAATGTGCAGGCGATGTGATATCAATAACAAATAAAAAACAGATTAAAACCTACAGGGACATTCCTAATATGAATAATTTTCAGAATCCTGGGGGTTCAAAAGAAATATTGCAACTCTATTTTCTCTCCTCCGGGGAAAAAAGTAATATTCATTTTCAACAATATATTTTTTTATTTCTGCAGTTCTTGGCATAATATCTATAATAGAGCATCTACCGAATATTTGTTTTGTATAACCAATCGCACGGAGCTCAAGATGAGAGAAAAAGCTTGTGGTATTATTTATTTGTGTGTGTGTATTGAAATATTATTTGTAAAATTTCAAAAGAACACAGTCTCCTTCAATTCAGTCTGAAGTATGTCTGTGAAATGATATTTTATGGATAAGAGCAGATATATAATACATCTCTGTTGCATGCAAAATGTTAATATGTACTGAATGATTTTTTATTTATTTAAACTATGGCAGTGAACATTTACCATGGTAAACGCTGTAATAATATGCATTTTTATGCTACCATACACATAAGTTTTAAGGATCTTTAAAATGCATACATGAATAATTTTTCAGCCTTGAATATTAATATCTTGACATATAAAATGTAAATATTCGAGCAAAATAAAGATACTCTATCCTCATAATAAATCTCTGTTGCATTTTACCCTGAATGCAAAAAGATAATATTATGGTACTAAAGGATTATTCATTCAGTACCGCAATATATATAAAAAAATGCATTTACAGTAATCCATTTTATTTACAGGAATGCATTACAGTAACAGCCTAATCTACTTTTGCTGAATTTTTTTTTTTCAAAAACAAGCATGAATCACATTTACAGTAATGCACTTATAATTGTGTTAGAAATTCAGGAGGATTTAAAGCAGAAATGTGCAGTTTGTATTTTTTCAAAGCATTAATTATATACACACACACACACACAGCATGGTTTTTACATTGTGCATATAAAAAAGCATGGCTTGCATACACTTAAGTTTTATGATCTTTTAAATGCATTGATACATTAATCACTTTATTATTAATTTCTTGACATATAAAATGCATTTATTATAGTTCAAATTAAAGATAACTCTGTTGCTGACAGTAGCGATCCGATGTTTGACGTTGTTCGGCGTGTCGTGTGGATAAACTGTGGTGTGTGTTAACTGTGGGTGTGACGAGTGTGTGTGTCCTCTGGGTTTACACCTCCAGAACATCAGCAGCTCCTGCAGGGCGAGAGCGGGCGCTAATGAAGCGTGCTTTAGAACAGGATTATTAACTTTGTTAATTGAGTTGATGAAATGCACGGACACAGACTGAAATGCAAATTGAATGAGGAGATGCATCAGTGTTTTCTGCGTGCACGGGGACCATCAGTTTTGTTGTTGAACATATTTGGCCTTGACCGCTGCGCTGAGATCAGTCCAGTTTCAGTCTCTGCCCGTTTGACCCGTGATTTACGTGAGCTCTTCTGTTACAGCGAACCGTCAGAAGCACACGGCAGGCTTTAGAGGACAGACGAGTGTCAACAGCATCGGCATTCACTGCATGCTTTGAGTTCTGATTTAAGGGGAAGATAGAATTGTTTGACAAATTCAAGGATGGAGAATTTCAATTAAACGTTTCCAATGGCTGTTGAATGAAGTTTTTAGTCATTCGTTCAAAGTTTAGAATATAAAGTCGAGTGTATTTACAGGTGATGCGCGAACGCAGGGGTCAGCGACCCAAAGATGGAAATAGTGTCACTTTGACAAACATTCGTTTAGAGTCAGTCAGAGGTCATTATCTTTAACGCTTACCGTTGTTGATTTTCACATACTTTGCGATGTTTGAGAGCCAAATAAGGGCCCATGTTAAGCATTTCAGCGGTGAGATGACGGCAGATTTGCTTGTCATCCGTAAACACATCAGGCATGCTTTTGGACATGTTAGTCTCTTTTCTGATTAATGAGATCATTTCTTGTGTTGCACACTGGAGTTGTTTCAAAACATTTGGCATAGACGTCACAGAAGAGTTTGAAGCATCTCGGCTCATCTCAGTAAAATGCATTGGTTACACTGTAATTTAAGGTGGCGTAGTTACATAGGGTTTGGTTTAGGGTTAGTTACTTGTAATTATGCATAATTTACTGTTATTACTACATGTAGTAACGTGTAACTACGTTCATTCATCTAATCTCGACCCAAGGTTATTTTTGTTAACTAAAACTAAAACCATTTTCATTAGTTGAGACACTAAAATAAAATAATATGTAAAAAAAAACCTTCTCATTTTTACATAGTTTAATTTGAAGTACTAACATAAAACTAAAAACAAAATAAACTAAAACAAATAAATAAAAAGTATAGACATATTTTAAAAATGCTGTTAGTTGACACAAAAGAAAATAAATGTTACCTGAAATAAAATAAAATGTATAGAAATGTAACTTGTTTTATTTTAGGCAGTTGCCAAGACAACTTTAGTTGTAGAAGCAAAATAAGCAAAATAACCCTTACAGAAATACAATAAAATAAAATTATTAAAATTATTTTATTTCAGCCAATTTTCATTTAGTTTAACTGGAAGTAGGTCTACTAAAATAACTAAAAATAAAAAATATATTTTACAAATTTCATTAGCTGAAAAAAAAAAAAAAAAAAAAAATTGCTATCTTAGATAACATATATAAAAATGCCAAAGTAACAACCAGTACAATTTTGCAAACTTTAACAAAAATGAAAGCTAAACCAGAAAATATATCAAATTACAATCTAATTCAAAATATTGACAAAAACTACAATAGTAGTATAATAATACTATAATAACCACTCTGAGCAATTTATGAGCACAATCTCATTTTAACTCCAATCATTTCAACACAAATAATCCATGCTTCAGTCCTAACGCCCAATTTAGTTAATTCTGTGTTTGTGTTGTTAATGTGTGATGTGTTTTTAAGCATTCATGTGAATGTCACCAGTGTCAAAGAGAAATATACACTCTGTGACAAACAGAATGGACAATAAAGTTCAACTCAACTCATCGCTGTGAAAGGAAAAGCGAATATTTCTCAGAGGAGTGTGTTCTCTAACCATGGGCGTAATTTGCGTGTGTGATGGGTGGGACTGGGACATGTCCCCACCACTTTTTGCCAGGGTTGATATTGTCCCCACCACTTTTTAAAACATCTTGTGGCACTGATGTACCAATACAACTAAATAAAACATCTCTAGTTAACTAGCAGAGCATTCATTTCGCTCGTTTGTTAAATAAGACGCGTTCTAGCGCTGAAATGTGTTGTTTTAAATCAAGCTGAGCGCTCGTTGTCGTGGCGATCAGTGGCACGGATACACACAGTGTTTTCTTGTCTTCACTCGGACGCGAAATCACAAAACAAAATGCACACAAACGTGTCCCTGCTTAATATACAACCACTGATGAACATATACGAGTGCGGATTAGAACCCGGAAGTTCTACCACTTGACCATGAAAGTACACACACACACCCAGACAGCAACATAGCGTCGGCAACATAGCATCCGGGCCGTGTGGAATCCAGGTGTGCCGGATGTGGGCCGGATCTGGGCCGACGCTATGTTGCTGTCTGGAAAAACTTCGCGGATCTATGGATTTATTCACGTCAAAATTCTCGGCACTAACAATATTAGTAGCTCTCATTTAACGACAGATTAAACCCATTATTTAAAGGTAGGGTATGGGATTTGCAAAACGGCCGGCAGATTTTGAAAAATACACAACTCAAAAGGTCCTACCTTCTTTCCTCCAACGCTGGCCCTGACTCCACCCATTCGAAGAACATGGACGCGCAATCATGCACTTACTCTCTCTCTCTCTCTCTCTCTGTACCGGGGTGACTTGCACTTACTGTGACTGGGTCACGAGCTTTGAGTATGCGCGCGCAGGGGATGGGGGAGGGGGGATGGTACGACCGTTTGATTGACGCATTTTCTGTCCAATGATTCTAGGTGGTCTTGGAAATGATTGGCTGGAGTTTTTCGAGTCCCGCCCGTTCCACAGATGATTAAATTGCTTAATTTTCTTTTCAGTGCTTCTAACTCAGTGGCTGTAAGTGGGTTAGGAATAGGATTTCAAGTGATTTTGAAAAAAAATGGTCTAAAAAGAAAATCACATACCCCACCTTTAAATTGAATGGACATTGTAATGTTATTTTTCCCCTGAAAATTGTTATTGTACATATATCTGACCTCCCCCCCCCCCCCCCCCCCCCCCCCCCCCAACACACACACACACACACACATCTATCCCACCCACATTTAAAACATAGTTCCGCCACTGGTTCTAACTCATTTGTGTCTGTGTGTGCTGCAGGTTTCAGCGTGGAGACTATCACATCGACGTGTGTATAAACGACTACCTGGACGTGTACTGTCCGCACTACGAGGACTCGATCCCCGAGGAGCGAGCCGAGCGCTATGTGCTCTACATGGTGAACTACGACGGCTACAGCACGTGTGACCACACCGCCAAGGGCTTCAAGCGCTGGGAGTGCAACCGGCCTCACTCGCCCAACGGCCCGCTCAAGTTCTCCGAGAAGTTCCAGCTCTTCACACCCTTCTCGCTGGGCTTCGAGTTCAGGCCGGGCCGGGAGTATTATTACATATGTGAGTGTGACATCACTGGACACTGAACACCATAGGCTGCATGCTTTCAAATCTGAAATCTGGCAAAAACGACCTTTAACATTAATACTTTTCACACATTACAACAACAAAAAACATGACAACATATGATTTTTAAAATCATCACTAAACATTGGAGGTCGGATAGACGTGCAGATCATGTCTATATTGGGTCTATGTCTACATCTATTCGACGTCCAAACTAGGTCCACTTTTTGGGCGTCCAACCATGACCCAACTTGGACGTCATATTGACGTTCAACATTTGACCTTTGAACTGGGTCATTTTTTTTGGACGTCATTTGGACGTCTATGACAGGCAGGAAATTTACATGATATCAACATTGTTGTTATCAACATGATTTATACATATGAATACAGATTATTTATAATAATTTAAGATCATTTTCAAAATACTCCATTTGATTGTTTCAGCATCAGGTGATAACTGGAGACACACACACACACACACACACGTGTAATGCTGGAGCTCAAACAGTAGAGTGTCTGCGCTTGCAACGCCAAGGTCATGGGTTCGATTCCCAGGGAAAGCAAGAACTGATAGAAATGTAAATGTGTAAGGCAATGTAAGTCACTTTGGATACAAGCGTCTGCCGAATGCATAAATGTAAATACATGGTACAGAAAACATGTCCTCCACCCCTTTGAAACATGGGACTACAGTTATAGAAGTTAAATTTGATGTTGAAAAGACGTCCACAAACGACCAGTGGTGGAATGTAACGAAGTACAAATACTTCGTTACTTTACTTAAGTAAATTTTTCATGTCTCTGTACTTTACTTAAGTAGAATCAATAGTGCATACTTTTTACTTTTACTTCGTTACATTTTGCAGCAATTATTATACTTTCTACTCCACTACATTTCTACAACGTTCTGTTACATTTTCGTTAAATTTTCTGATCAGTTTTCCCCTGCCAAAACGTCATCCTGACCGTCCGTTCATCGCACGTTTCTGTCTCACCAGTGAAGTTTGGTTGCCATAGATATATCAACCCGGTCACACTAAATGCGTCTCTATAGCACGCAGTGTGTTTATCGTGCAATTTATATGCGAAAATTAGTTTTTACATGCATAGGAAACGCATTGGTAGGTTTAGTAGTGATGTGGGTATTATACGTTTGGTTAGGATTAGTATGGCAAGCCAAGAGGTTCAGAATTACGCCATAAATGAATCGCGTTTACAGCCAAACGCCGTCATATACAGCGTTTTAACATAATATGTGTGTTTATATATATATATATATATATATATATATTATATATATATATACCGTATATAGTAAGGGTATATAGTAAGCTTGATGTGTATATTGCCTAATTGCAAGCTTGTTCAGAAATGGTGACAAAAACTTAAAATATAACTGCTTTTCCGTCATATTGAACATCATTATATGAGTATTAGGTTGAATGAGTTAGAATTAACTGTTTTATTAATCATTAGAATATAGACATTAAGAGAATAAATTGTAATGCAAGTACTTTTACTTTTAATACTTAAAGTACATTTAAAATCAGGTACTTTTTACTTAAGTAGGGTTGTCATTGTGGTACTTCTACTTTTACTAAAGTAAATATGTCTCTGGTTATTTGTACTTTTACTTAAGTACTGAGATTCAGTACTTCCTCCACCACTGCATTTGGACTATAAATAGCCCTTACACGGAGGTCTCACAGACATCAACATTAGACGTGCGGTAGACGTCGAAAAAAGACGTCGTCTGGCGTTACAGAACAACCCCTTCAGTGGACCGAAATTGGACGTCCAAAAATGACATAGAAAAGACGTCACTCCGACGGCACATTGCGCAGTGGCTACACTGCAAAACAAAATGATGTGTACATATGTCTTGTTTTCCAGCAAACATATATAAACATTCATAAATCAAGGTACATTTACTGGAGAAACACAATGACCTCAGATTTGAAGTCTTGTTCACTCTTGAGCGGTCGATGAACGCGCCGGCGCACTTTGGTGCATTTTTTCCACATAGCAGGAAAATCGACTTAAAATACTTTTTTGTCATACAGAACAAAACTGTAAACTTTGATTTGAGTACGCCCACAATAACAAGAACGCTCGATAAACAAAGCATAAACTTAATCCGATTCATCTGCTGAAATATGATCTAAATGAAGTGAGTTTGTGCTTAAAAGAAGAACAACGGAGTCAGAAAACTGATCTCATTTTCACTGAATTGAATTAAGATTATTTTTCTGACTTCATTGGCAAATATTTTTGCACGATTGGCTGCTTTCAAATCAATCATGCTGTCATGAGGTTATGCTGGCATCTTTAAGTGCAGAGAAGAACAGCTTGGGATTGTGTTGTTTTAACTAGGAAAGGAAAGTTGTCTTTGTCTTGTTTATTTCTATAGCACTGCTAAAAACAACAAGGCTGACCGAAGTGCTTTACATAAAAAGAAAAAAAGATAAAACACACATATTATTAAATCTAACATCACAGACACCACATTTACCACATTGAATGTTGGTCTAAATTTTGTCTTTGTCTGAATGTATTATGTATGTTGCTGGTCAATTTGACCCGAATTGATTTTTGAGTTGTCAGATATACCTATCATTGTTTAGATATTTTGTGATTTCGGATCATGGAAATGCATGCAAAGTTTCAACACTCATGTGTTGTTGAATGTGGGTCCAAAATTTATGATTATGATATTTGTGGTCCAATTTGGCACACATATTTCACGGTTAACCCTTTATCCATCTGACCCTTGTATAAAGTTAAAATTCTTGGTATTGTTGTAATGCAGATTATATGGAACCTAATTGGATTGACTAAAAAAAAGACAAAAACACACAACAAAATTACTAAACCTTTAATTAAAGTGAAATCAGAAAATATATTTAAAAAAAATGTATTCAAAATATTAACAAAAAGTATAATAGTATATTATTGATAATAATCTCTCTGAGAGTTTATGAGCAGGAGATGATTTTTGCTTGTTGCTGGTCAGTTTGACCTGAATTGATTTTTGAGTTGTCTGAAATACTTGTTAACCTATCATTCTTTCTTGATATCTTGTGACCTTTTCACATTTTGGATCATGAACATGCAATGTGGTTGCAAAATTTATGATTATGATATTTGTGGTTCAGTGTGGCACACATATATATATCTCACTATATAAAAAACTAAGAAATCTGGCAAAAACAATCTTTAACATTAATAGTTTTCACACATTACTACATCAAAAAATGTAGTAAAAAGATTTTTAAAACTGTATTTAATGGCAACTCTGCAAAACAAAATTATGTTCTTCCTCAGTATTTTTGTCTTGTTTTCCAGCACAAATATATAAACATTCATAAATCAAGCTATATTTACTGGAGAAACACAATGACTTTAGAAACAGAATGAGATTTGAAGTCTTGTTCACTCTTCTGGGGTCGACGAACGTGCCGGCGCATTTTGGAGCATTTTTTCCACACAGCAGACTTAAAATACTTTATTTTTATTTGCGTACGGCCGCTCACAATAACAACAAAACAGATAAACAAAGCATCAAACTTCATTAGATTCATCTGCTGAAAAATTATCCAAATGAAGTGAGTTTGTGGATAAAAGAAGAACAAATATCTGCCAATGGAGTCAGAAATATTATATCATTTTCACTTTTTCTGACCCCGTTGGCCAATATTTTCACTTAACTTAGATTTTTCCGAAAACAAGACTCAAATCAAAATTAATTTACTTAAAAAGCTAAATTTAATAAGATATGTTTATTTTGTGGTGTATTCAAATTTTTTTTTAATTATTAATTTTTTTTTTATATAAAATTATGAATTTTATGAACAGTTTTGTAAGTATTACTTGTTTTTTTTAAACTCTTTAACACAGAAGAAATAACACACTTATTCCGTGTGTCAAACAGCAAAGGCAACACTAACACTAAGATCACGGGTTTGATTCCCAGCAAACTGAACATGCACGAATTGATGAAAACGTACGCCATCAACGCATGCATAAATGTGTTACATGCACCAATTTTTTTTTATGCTTTTAAAATGACAGTTTTAAAGTTTGTTATGAGGGTTCCAGGATCAGATAAATGTTTCGGTTTGTTCAAGCACACAACATGAGGTCATGTTATACAATAATACGACCAGAAATACCTGTCAACCCAGGTGTGTTTTGCATTTTGAACTCGATCGAGTTTTATGTGTTTAGGCCTGCATGTTTCAATTCAATTTCAAGCAGTTTCAACAGCCCTAATATAACTTTATTTCGCTCACTGTATGTGAGTGACAAAGCCCTTTGTACATTATAAGAAAATGCAATATTTTCTCTTGTTGAGATTCATTTTCAAGGACAGCATAAACAATCAGGGAGGACAGAAATCAATATGAATCAATTTTTTTTTTTTTTAAGAAAATGAAATTTGAGTGTTTCGCTGAAGGACACCTGTCTACAAGGTGAGATGAAAATACAGGCAAACCTCATTAGTTTTCCCTCATAACGTTCCTGCAGGACCTTCACATCGCCAGCGTGTCCCGAGGCCTTGTTACACCGAGAGCCGTTATTATGTGCTTGACTAGCCGGTGCTGCTGAGAACGTGAAAATCATAGAGCATATCGTTCTCCTCACGAGCATCATCCTCCCTCTCGGTCCAGAGCGAACATCTGTGAAATGCGTTTGCCCTCTCCGACTGACTCCACGGATCTGTCTGTCCGCGCTCCAGGCTTCACATCTCGGCAGCTTTTGTCTCTCTGGTGAACATCGTAATTAATATACATCATGACAGTCATATTGAGCATAATTCCAAACAGAAAGTCAAAGCTGGAGTTGAAGTGTGAAAAGCGTCCCGCTTTTAGTTGCCATATTTCACAATGACTTCAGACGCTATTATTATCTGTGTTAAGAAAGGTGATTTCACAATACAGGCAGTTCAAGATGTCAGCTTTCTCTGGCAGGAGTATTTAAGCAAATGTTCA